TTTTTTTGTTATTGTTGTGTCTCTCACTGTTCACATAAACCTACCATTGAAATTGTAGACTGATCATTTCTTTGTTAGTGGGCAAACTTACAAAATCAGCTGGGGTTCAAATAATTTTTTCCCTGACTGTACTTCAACTTCTTCGCTCGGAGCAGCAACTCGCTCCCATCTCGACAGGAGCAAGGCAGTGTTGTCCAGCAGAGTTATGGTTATTACATAGTCCATATTATTAAAACATATAAAATCCTACTGTGCTTGGAAATAAAAACAAGAGATCTGTATTCCCAAAACATTACTCCAAACACTTCACAATAAAGCCACCCTTAAGTGGATGTAGAATTAAAATTCTGTCCAGTATTCCTGTTTAGATGGTTTCTGTACACGTTGTGAGCACAGGGTACCACTGTAGGTTTGAGACAGATGTATGTATCAGATAAAACCGATCGTCTTCCTCTCTGTGACTGCGTTAAGTGTCTGAGAGGGACAGATGCAGAGTCATTCTAACTGGCACTATGAACTAGAAACTCACCAGTTTGCAGGCCACTTGCTGACACTCCGCCACCAAACACTGGACTTCGCCGTTGCTGCACAAACATCTGGAACAGAGGCTGGGCTTCCACTCATCTCCATCTTTGTACAAAACTCCCTGCCAGGAGCACGACTCTAACACACACAGAGAAAACAACAGAATGAGTTACTATTGAAACGAGTGTCAGGCAACGAGCTGACTGTTTGAGCACTGCAGCCCACACACTCAGTGTATTACAGCCAGGAAGGAAGCAGTTACTAATTAGCTGCTAACCATCATGGCAGGTCCAAGACATCATTAGAGCCAAGATGAACCTTTCAGCTACGCTCCGGCTGCTCTGTGCACTCTAAAAATGCTGAAGGCCTTGTTGTGTGTCAAAGATTTAGGAAGGTACACTATAAAAACAGAGACTCAGAGTTTAAAGATATCGTGCACAGAAGAACATGCACCACAGGGTTTATCAGAATAAACAATGCATTGTCTATAACAGGATTAATTCCTTTATTGAGGTATGGTTTTACTTTGTATGTGGAGATCATCAACAATACATTACTTTTAGTGTGAAGATAAGTCAGAAGAGGCTGTAACTAGTTTCCACTAGCAACAATATAATACACACCTACACACACAAAATGGAGATTATGTATCATCACGGTATAAATTACCACCGCGTCCCTGAAAACACCGTTCATTCCACCATGTGAAAATGCATTTAAACACCTGTCTCAAAACTGACTGTGAACATTTACACTTTTATTGCAGTTCTCTCTGGAATACATTTTGAACATTAGAATGAAGATGGTTTCATTAAGCTGTGGTTGTAGCAAGACAACTGCTCTGTCACATTCTTTTACAAAAGAGGAAGGAATTCGGACCACTGAGACACTAATGTCACGATCAACAGCCCTGGATGTTCTGTGATACGTCGTCTAAAACAAAGTTTGGCAAAAGGAAAATTAAAATCATTGTAAAAAGTAAAGACGCAAACTGTCTGGAGTGGCTAGACAGAAAAAAAAAACATCAAAGGTTAAACTAGTGGGACCAAGAGCAGGAGCAGAAATTATGTTTATTAAAAGAAGAAGAAGAACCTGAGGCAGTGTGTTGCTCTGCAGGTCTGTGAGCAGCCAGCGCACACACACACACACACACACGCAGGCTCTGGTTTCCTGTGTGAAAGTCGGAGCAGAACAAGCCACTGTGTCTTAAGGTTAAGGTGTCTGAGGGCTTGTTTGTGTGTTTCTTTGGTTTTTGTGGCCTTTTTAAAACCACCTGTAAAGTGCCAGCTGGTACAAACTCCAGCTACAGTAAAACTGCGTTTGAGAAAACCACTGGAACATGACTGGAGTGCTACAACAGCTGGTCAGCAGCTGCAAACTGAGGTCTCCTCCAGTCGGTGTTTGGCGTTCCTCAGTACAGCTTTTTTAATGTGCCGCTTCCTACGACTGAAAAACATTCTGTAGTAACAGTTCTCAGTAAAACACACTTGGCCAAACACTGACTTGAAACTAAAATAATCCAAGACAGTGAGCATTTAGTTTTGCTTATAGTTAAACTAACACAGGATGCTAAACCTGTTACAAACAGCAGCACTAATTCATCCATCTGGTGCCATAACCCGTTGCAGAATGAGATGACATAATTGTAACCTCAGACACTGGAAAATAAATTTGACATTTGTTTGTGTAACATATTAAACATTACTCTATGTCCTCTCATCGCTCCACGCAGATCTGATGTTTAAGTCACATGTATGTATTATACTTTGCCACCTCAGCCAAGTGTAAAAACCTTCTATGAAAATAGGTGCAAAATGAAAATATATGTAGTTGAAAACAGACACAGTTGGACATAAAGACTCTGTGTTCTCAGAAAGACAAACCAATCCTGTTGAAAGACAAAATATAAACAACCAGGCCACTGTGAAAAGGATCTGGTGTATTTTGTTGTTTTGAAAACTGCTCTCAGCTCTCACGTTTTGCATGTCTGAGAGTCCCACAAGTAGTTGGAATGCCCCATAACAAACCCTCAACTGCATTAAAACTGAACAATTACAAGAATTAGAAGTAAAACCAAGTTAAAGTGATGAAACTTCCACTGTCTAGAGACTCATTTGCAGAGCCTTAAGACATAAACTGAAGCAAAATGCCTGCCTGGAGATGGGAAACCAATAAAGGTAGCACACAGGACAGTAAACAGTACAAACAACGGGATCTGTAGTTAATGCACAACAACATGAAAAACTGGTATGACCCTTTAAAAGAAGAAAGCACAGGAGATCTGCCTTTGCTGGTCATCATGACCCAGCCCTCACCTCCGCTGCGGCCACACTTGGGACAGCACTCTCCAGCTGGCGTGAACGCGCTCTGACCTCCAGGACAGCTGAGAGGGGGGCAGGGGTGAGGGCTGCAGAATACACTCCCTCTGGAACAAACGCACAGCGAACATGGCGAAGGACTCCACTGGCTCTCGTGCTGTGGGACCCAGAGGGACGGGGAGACGGACAGTTACACATTTTGCTGAATGGCACGTTTGACTCTAATGTATATTATGTTACTGAATTATATTATTGATGCATTAATATGTTCATCACTTTAACGCTGCAGCTGGTAAAGATGAAGCTGATTTAACTACCTTATATATGTATAATGTGAAGAACTTTACATGCTGCCTGGCAGCTTCTGAAAAGTAAATGTACTTAGTTACCTTCCACCACTGAAAAGGAGACCACAAAAAGAGAGGAGGAAAATGCAGATGAAAAGTAAGACTGTGTGACTGTGAATAAAAAGGAATATCGCATTTGAAAACTCAAGTGCAGATGTGTAATTTCAGTTTGTAGTGGTTTCTGCAGAGCTCGGCTGCTTTGCCAAGAAGCTTGTTAGTGACCTTCCTAGATTACTCTTCATCGTTTTATTCATTCATTTATCTGTGTAGTTACTAGTGTTAAGAAAGTGCCTCAGCCTGATGTTTACTGGTATAAAGACTGACAGAACTGGACTGATGCACTCCAGACTTACATAACCATGGTTAGAGTTAGATACATATCTCTCATACGTTCGTTTGCGGATATGCTTTGTTCTGTCAGTCTAAATGGGATGTCAGCATGTCAGTGCCGCCTGCAGTCTAAATGATGGAGGTAAGGATCTGACTTCACTCAGCGTCTGAGGTGTCAAACCGTGAAACCTGCATTAAACCTTCTTTAGTCTGCATGAAATACATCATTAGTATGACTCTTAATGGGGCATTGATCTAAATGCTTTTTCACCATGGAAAGATTTCTGTGGCAAACAATTAAGTTTGTCTTTGGAACATAACCAGTATGTTTTCCCTTCTCATAAACACTGGAAATGATATTTGATATTGATATTTTATCCAAATGTACACTAAATTAAATGTTTGGGTCCTGACCGCTGATTCTGGAGCTGTCCCAGATCACAGTTTATGTAAAAGAAATAACATAATACTTTCAAGTAGCGCACCAGCAGAAGACATCAAGTACAGGATGATTCAAACCCCCAAAACAGGTTTGTCCTCCAAAAAGCACAAAGGCATCACATCTTAAAAATCACCGTCCTTTGTGATCTAGCTTGCCTACAAGAAGAAAAGAAGTATAATCTTTCCAAAGAGTTTCCCCTGGAAACGAGCAGCAGCAGTATAAAATAATGTCCTCCAGTGACGTTAAAATCCCCAAAGGCCATGACTCCGCTCCACACCTCTTCTCCTGGTTGTTCAGATCTGTGTAAAAGCGTCACTTCACCAGGGAATCAACACCAGTGGCATCTACAAACTCGGCCAAGAAAAGTCTTTCGTTTTTCTCTGGAGGATATGCAACTGTCCAACATGGCTGCCAAAAGGTGGCTCATTAAGCTGGAGGCCACTCACACAACACAGTGATTGTCGCTGTAGTGAGAGGGGAGGGGGGACGGGTGGGCCCCTGAAACCAGGGCTTCAGCAGTGACTAGATTTAATAAACAAATGCCTTTAGAGGTTGGATGTATTTATGATTTGGGGTTTCACATTCACCCAAATTCATTTTTGAGACATTTACAAACACAAATACCAGAGAAAAACTCCAGCTACACCCACCAGTGATAGATGAACATGTCAGTCCAGGCCTTGGCTGCAGGGATTTGCTCCCATTCAGCCACAAGAGCATCAGTGAGGTTCGACACTGATGTCAGGCAATAAGCTTGGCTTGAGCCGGCGCTTCAGTTCATCCCAAAGGTGTTAGGTGGGGATGAGGCTGGGAAATCATATCCTCTGTGAAGCTCTGTTTTTATGATCTCCTCAGTTTCCCACACTTTGAAAACACCTGGTCTGAAATGTCATCGTATGCTGTGTTATTCAGATTCCCCAGAAGTACTCAAAAAAAGTATAACATTTCACCAAAGAGTATTTTTTTAAATCTTCGTGAATACATATTAACATTTAATAGAATGGCTGGATGATCAGGTGAAGAAGAGGGAGGAAGTCTTTCCTCTTCCTCCAGCACCTTCACTTACTCCATAAGTGACTCCTTCATAATGGCAGGAGCCCTGGGATGCAGAGACACACTCTGGACAGCACTTGTTGGCAGGGATCCTCAAACGTTCGCCCTTCGGAGAAGACACACACAGATGAATACATAAGTCAGTGCATATCCAGCAAGAGCAAAACACAAATACCCAGTTCAAATATCAAAGTCCCTTTAACCAGAATTAATGCAAAACCTGCCAGCTACAGTCTGTCCATTTTCATGGGCATTAACTGACATGAGAGAAATAACACAATGGGAATGACGTTAATGATAAAATTATTAGTCATACACAGAATTAGTCATACACATACTGCAGAAATCACAGCAAGCACAGTGGCAGTATGACAATACATAGTACAATACAGATTTCCCACAGCCACGCTGCCTACACGCCCTATTTGAAACCAAATGTGTGGCAGGAAGCAGCGAGGGCCAATCACAGAGCCTCCAAAGAGTTTAGGCGTCTTTTATTTGCAAATACAAATGACATGAAATGGAAAAAAGAAGGTGGGGAGGAATACAATCAGTGTAAGGTTAGAGAAACTATCTCCTGAGAAGCCTCAAAGAACGTCCTGTGTCCATTCAGAAAGGGGAGAAACTGAACAGAGGTGCAGCTGCAGAAGACAAATGATGTCAACAGGCAGGAGAAGGGCAGCTAAATGTATAAACGACAAGAATGGGAAATGCAAAGTGAGCCGTGCAGGTTGTATTGTTGTGTACTCTCAGCTCATCATTAGTCACCTGCCAGCACACAAAACTTTAAAACACAAACGAGACCACAAGCTCTTAGAGCACCTGGAAAATCACATCACAACAGACAGTGGTGAACACTAATCATCAGATCTAATCATGAAGTAATGTTGTCATTCATTTGAGCTTTTGTGTCTCCTCTCCCGATGCTTTTCACATTTTCATTTTCCTCAGTCCCTCCAGCTTTTTTCTTCCTGCTGTCGCAAATTTAATCAGCAAAATATGACTGAAGAACAAGAATTGGATCCAATTTGAGATGTTATTGTTGCAAATAAAGAGAGATGGCTCAGGCTCAGGAAGAACAGGTTTCATTCATCTCCGAGGTGCCGCACTACTCCGGCTGTTGCTTCTGCAGGAAAATAAACAAGTGTGTTTGAGTCTGGTGCTTCTCTGAAACAGGTGAGATGGGCCAGTGACGCTCAGAGCTAAAAACAGGCTGATTCATATAAAGTCTGACTTGAATTTTACTTGTGGAAAAGAAGTGACAACATTTTAAAGATTTTATTTTTGTTAATTAACTGATTTCTTGGTTAATTTTCTATATTGTTTTTCTTTTAATAACACTTACTATATGACACAAAATAATGCTCTTGCTGGTAACAAGTCTGGTTTTGAAAAAGCAGTAATATTTCAATATAATGGTTACATCTAGGAAAATATTTAATCTATTTGAGCCATATATGTTTATTAGTTAGTCGTACAGGTAACACTGCATAATTTAATTTAAAAAGTAAAAATGTATAACTCAGCACTAATTATTGCAAAAATGAGTAGAAAACATGCAGAGGCAGTTTTACCTCCATTTTCTTTGGCATTTAACTCATAAAAGGTCAAAAGAATATAAAAAAATTTGATATTTGAACTAGAGCTGAGCTGTAATTAATCAATCGAAACAAAATTAATCAGCAACTATTGTGATGACGGATTAATAGCTCCAGTTATCTTTAATGACAAAATAAGCAAGTATTTGGCATAGTGGTACAGTGGTTAGCGCTGTCACCTCACAGCGAGGTGGTTCCGGGTTTGAGCCCCAGCCAACCCGGGGCCTTTCTGTGTGGAGTCTGCATGTTCTCCCCATGCTTGCGCGGGTTTTCTACAGGTACTCCAGCTTCCTCCCACAGTCCAAGGACATGCAGCTTAGGTTGACTGGTGACTCTAAATTGCCTGTAGGAGTGAGTGTGGTTGTGATAGACTGGTGACCTACCCAGGGTAGACCCTGCCTCTTGCCCACTGTCAGCTGGGATTGGCTCCAGCCCCCCACGACCCCGTTCAGGTTAAGTGGTATAGATAATGCATGGATGGCAATTATCTGCTGGTTTCCTGATTTTTATGACAATTTGTTGCTTATTTACTACTTGTTGATGTTTGAAAGATGACATGAGTCATTGAGAAAATAACCCTGGGTATACCAACTATCATTTTATATGATTTTACTTAGAATACAGTGTTTTAAATGATAACCAAAGATATGAGCCGTCCTATCCAGACATCCTGTACATATCAGTGGTAGATTACAGAAATAATAAGATACTCCTGAGATGGATTTCAGAAAGAAGCACATTCAAGCTTATGAATAATGACAGTGATTAAAAAAAGAAAGCTCTTTAATGAGAGACAGACATGATAAAAACCTAACATTTCTTGATCACAGTGTACATGAGAGGAGGTCACATTTTAAGGGCTTTTTAAATGCAGGGCACACATGGCTTGGTGAGCATGATGACACATTTTTAATTTATACTGGAGTGCCAACCAGCAGAGTGGAATTCATCAGACATTGATTGTTGACTTAGCTCAGGGTTGGGGTTGAATTTGATGCCGCCACATTTAATAAGAAGCACAAGGAGGAACAGCCAGATGGAGCAGCAAGAATGGGCTTCAAGAATGTGTCCTGTGAATTTAAGTGGCCTAAAAAAGGTAGGCTGGAGCTAACAGTCTGTTCAGCTGTTATTGTTGCCAACTGAATGGTGCAGTCGGCAGACCTGACGGCACAATAGTCAGCCAGTTCACCGATTCTTGTTGGAAGGGCAAATCACGAACAGGAGCGATTAAAAAGGCCCTTGAAAATGGATCTGCACTTCAAGGTGAAATGGAGAGAGGGAGATAAAAATATGACAAAAATAAAGACCGTGAACATTCAAGGCTTTCCTTTTTATTAACTTACGGTTACAAAATGATTCTGGCTGCTGTCTAGTGGCTCATGTAGAGAGGTGAACATTTTACATTCACTGCCAATAAACTATCAGTCAGTTGAAGGTTTAGTTCTGAAAATATCTCTTAAAAGCAGAGAGGCTTTGGATGAAGAAAAATGTTCAGTTTGATTTAGATTTCTTCACTCCCAAAGATCAAATGTTTTATACATCTACAGATATCTTTCTTATGACACATAAGGAACGTGAAAATGTCTTGAAAACTAGTAGAAAGATTTCTTATAGAGAATGTGAAGGTAGATCATGTAGTACTGAGTGTTGGGATGCTGTATTTACCTGCTTACATTCTTCTGTTTGGCTAAAAACTTGCCACTGACTGTGGTAATTCAAGATGGATAACCTTAGCTGATTGTAGCTAAGCTGTAGTGGACCTAGAACACGACAAACCGAAAAATGACTCTGCACACTGATCTCAGCTCTCGGTTCAGGAGCTAACGCTAGCTAGCAGCTGTCGGCAGATGACATAAAGACTGAATCGATTTCTGTCCTGTCTGTGCTCAAACTGAACACTAAAGTGGATGTTTGGACGTAGTTGAAGCATCCACTACTGTATGTAGCTGTATGGGATAGTATTTATTATTTTAAATGAACTTATATATGTATGTAGTGTATATCTCTATAACGAATAATGAGCATGAGCTCAAAAATAGTGTCTTTACCCAAAATTAAACACAGTGTGATAACAACTTCACATTCTCTATATTACAAACTGGAAATGAGATGTATAAATCTAATATGTCTGAACCCATGACTCCAAACAACACTTTACATACAAACAAAAAGGAAGCCAAAATGTACACAGATACTGTATATCATTAGATACTAGCCAACAACTACTTATGTTAGGCTAATATTAGCTATACCTGTTTAGCTAATTGTAATCTGTTTGCCTTTCAAAAAAAACTTTGTATTTTGTGCTCTTACCAAACACCTTTTTTTGCCATTTTAGTTGTCAGAAAGTCCCAAAAACCAGGCATAGTGTCCGAGGTTTGGGTCAGCCGGGCACTTCCAATCAAATCAAATCAAATCAATTTTATTTGTATAGCGCCAAATCACAACAAAAGTCATCTCAGGACACTTTACACTTGGCCCCGGCCACTGCCCAAAACACAATGCACCGGCCCCCTACGGCCTCTCCAGCAGGTGATGGGCCCACCGAAGAGTGGGTCCACGTTGTGGTTTAGGGCTGAGCCCGGCCAGGCCCCGTGGGTATAGGCTTGGCCACCAGGCGCTCGCACACAAGCTCCTCCCCCAGGCCTGGCTCCAGGGTGGGGCCCCGGTGACCCCATACCGGGCGGGGTAAACATGGGCCTTGCACCTGGTCTGGATGGATGGAGTTGTCAGAAACCTTAGCTAGCTCTTACCTAAGTTTCTGTGTTTAGAAAAGAACTAGACTTATCCTGTTAAAGAACATTTGTTTGGTGCCCAGCACATGATAGTTTCTTATCCCAAAGCATAAAGCTGTCAAACCCCTGTAGATTTAAGTCTTACCATTTGGAAGTCACACTGTGTGTTGGGGCAGCGGATTGGGGCGCAGGCGGCCACGTCACTGTAGCAGGTACACTCCTGACACACCTGTGGTCTCCATGTTGTGTTGTTCTGTTAACACCAAATAAACAATAGATATTAAACATTACTGAGGACAAACTTGATTCATCACTGAAAAACAGTGCTCTCTTATGCTCCATTATCAAAGCCTAACACACCCATGTGTCATCTTTATGTTGACAGCAAACACACAATGCCAGGTTCCCTTGTGCATATTAAGTGACTGATGCAAAAGGTCTGAATGTTATTGTCTACGTGGCTGAAAGACTATTTACCTCATAAACTGCTTAGAAAAATAAACTACTCAATAAATAAAGTTTTCTCATTTAACATTAATTAAAGTTAATGCATGGTAACTACATGGTTGAGTCTTCTTCATTTAGATTTACACAAGTAATTAGCTTCTGTTGTTTAACTTTCCTAAGTAATTTTATTTACCCATTCCTGAAGCACGATTGATGGAGGCTAAATGGAAAAGGTGAGGCCTCAGACTACAGCTGACAGCCAATGCTTTAACAATACATTAACAATAGCCCACAGAACAGATGTGTGACTTAACAGGCTGAACTACAGACAACTTTGTACTGTGGTTCACATGAGGTTCACAGCAGCTTGGCAAGGTTTGACTGCTCTGGTTTACAAAATGTAAGCACCGCTATAAGAAAACCATTTCACACTTTGAACCTTTATCATCTTTTTTTACTTGAGGCTATAAAACACTGAAAGATTTCTGCTGCAGTCAGAGTGAAACTGTTTCAGTGCTGATTAGAAACCTTGACCACCACGGCCAACTACACAGCGAGATAGGGCGAAAAAGGCACAAAGGCTCGAGAGGTGGCTGTACCCTTTAGCATATCAGTAGCTCATAACACCGAGCTGTCATATGGCTATCTTAAAGCCAAAATCAGATCAATATTCCAGTGCCTGCATATGCTCAGATACAGTATATCATCCTACAGACAACAAATCTGATTTAGCCTGATGATTAATAACATTCTCATGATGGGAATATCCCCAGGCAGCTGTGGTCACTGAGTGGACACCTCAGTGTGGGAGGTGATTGTCACTTGTGGAAGCTGTGCTCAATATGAGATGGTTACTAAACCACAGGACGCATTAGGCTGCTTAGGTAACAAGCAGACCCCTAATAATCCCATAAGCCCATCTTGTTGCACTTCTCTTTGTGGCTGGTGTCCTGCTGTGCACTCAGGGCCTCAACTTGCTATTCTTGCATGTGCAAAGGAGAAACGGACTTAATGGTTTTGGTATACAACAGCATTTAATTACAATCATAGCTCTCCTTGGTAAAGAGCAGATGTCTAATAGTGTATTTTTGTATCCTGTACATCCAGTGTTGCTGTCTAAAACCACACTATGCACAAGGAGGTCTTATTAAACACAGCCTCTTTGTGACAGGACAAATTTCTGGCAGCACATGTAAACAATGAGAATTCAATTCAGTTTTATTTGCATAACCAAAATCATTTCAGGGAACTTTACAAATGAAGGTCTAGACCTTACTATTATTGTTATTATTATAGAGGAAAAAGCCAACAAATCCCCCTTGAGTACATAAAAGTACATCAAATTATAGCTATAGGTCACAGTGGAAGACAGCGGAGAACACCAGGGATGAAAATTTAATTAGGGAGAGCAGCCATGTAAGCTGATATGTTTACAGTAGTGTGGTTTGGCATGTGTATGTTTGTTTCATTGCAGGTTTGTGGGTGTGCATCGCTGCACACTGTGAGCAGATGTATAATGAGGTTTATGTAAGGGCGCATGTGTCATGGGCAGCACACAGGCCAGCCAGCTCTGGGAGAAGAGAGAGGAGTGACCTTCAGAAGTAATGAGAACATGGGCATCAAGTGAAGGTTGCAGGTTTCCCAAGGAAGTTTCTCTTCCTGTGACAAAACATATTTAACACAGGCACACACCTGAGATGGATGATACTCACGGACGAACTCCATCAAATCAAACTAAAGTACTGTAGGTGATGGACAAGCAGATGATTTGAGGGATGCAAGTTAATGCTCGACTTCTAACTGAGAACATCTCTTTAAAGAAACTATTTGACAATTTGGGAAATACTCTACACTTAGTTGTTGTCTTGTAACGAGTCAGATGAGAAAATCAGTACAACTCTCATGTCGTTATGCTAAATATGAAACTGTAGCCAACAGGTGATTCGCTTAGTTGCTAAGCATAGCTTAGCCGAAGACAAGTTTCCAGGAAGCCACTGGCCAAGAATTAGTTCCAGTGCACAACATCCCCGAGGGACCATGGTCACTGCTGTCAGACTCACGGTACTGGAGACAAACATGGGCTGTATCAGACAGCATGTTCACTGGCTCAGTGTAACTAGCAAAGACAACTTTAAATTTGACAACAGCAAAAATCCACTTTGCACAGACTGTCTTCTGCAACCTTTAACACAGGAGAGCTCCCTGTTTGTGCAGTTGTTAAAATGTCCAAACGAGATGTCCTACAGACAAAGGAGAAATCCAGGTCAGATGCACACCCCTCTGTGCAGTCACACTGTTACAGGAAGGCAGACTGTCTCTCAGGCTCATGTGTTCTGACTATAAAGACCCAAACTGCATGATATTAGTTTGTCATGCTGGGGAGCTCTGTTTGTATTAACAAAGGCTGGAGGTACCTTCCCCTGGCCTTTGTTAAAAGTCCAAAGGTCTCTTCCATTCAGTCAGTGTGACATACTGAACACAAACATTTCAGCAATGATCCACCAGTCTTTCTACAGGCCAGTAGTGACCTTCTTTTCTTTATCAGATAGCCCTACGAGGGGGAGAGCTTCAAAGCAAACTTATAAATGGAAAGTTCTTCTGATTGAATCAGAACAGTGCAACTCCAGGCTACTCAGTCAGAAACTGGGTTAACACTGTATGAAATCTTATCAAGAATCTTTTTAAGTGAAAGCATGAAGAAGGTTGATTTTAGAAAGTTTGGAAAACATTACCAACAAATGAAAATTAATTTAATGAATTAATTAATTTTTGCTTAGTTTGAATGGTCTCACAAATATATTTCTCAAGTGATCAGAAAAAAGTGTCAAAGTTCACTTTTGTCCCAAATGTAACTGCCCCTTTCTGCATCAACCCGTGGTATTTGTGCATGTGTATACGTGTGTGTTACACTGAATAATGTGTGCGTTTGTGTTTAGATGCTGGGAGTGTCAGATGATATTAATAACCTGTGTGAGAGTGTGTATTATTTGTTTGTAACATGAAAGACACTGACTTAAATTGGGTAAAAAGGTCATTGCGATTAATAATAAGTCTGCCTGTCCTCAGAAAGCAGTTTCCTGTTATGGATCTGTGGCAGCCACACATGTCAGTGAGTCTGTCTTAATGGACCTGTGTAAAATGAGCACAGCAGCTAACTGTATACCGTAAGTGACTTCAGGTTGGACAGGGCTCGGTGCCACAGCTCTGGGAGCAAGTCCATTGCAGCCCAGCTCTCAGGGGGATCAAGGACCTGGCACTCAATTCCAAATCCTCATCCTGTGAGCCTCCTGAATAGACCACAGGCAGAATTGGATTGACCCTAAATTCGCTGTAAATGCAGACCTTTTAAAGTGTCCGGGGCTGGGGAGCAAAGATTTCCCACAAAAACTGGACCTCTTATTACCTGACCTCCCCTCTGCTGCTCCGATAAGGCAGAGGCAGGGGAACTACACGGCAGACAGGAGTCTGAGCAGCGGTGCTAAGTCCTCCCCTCCTCCCAGTGAGACTGTTCCCTACAGGGACCCATCCCTGGGATTTGCTGAACACATAACTGAAGAGTTGAGGGCGTATTTCATTTCCCCCTGGAGGAAGATATCTGCCTCAGATTTGATTTAGGACTGAACCAGCTCAGCCAATGCAGCTGAACGTCTCCAGTTTCATCAACAAAAAATACTTCCATAACTTTCACACTCTGCTACAGAGAGCAGAGCTAAGTTGGAGTGTTGCACTTTGGCTGGTCGGTTGTCAGTTTGAATCCCAGAAAGAGATGATAAAAATGAATACCAAATGCCCTCATCCAAGCTGAACTACAGCCATTCGCTGTGCATCCCCTCAGACAAAATATACAGTAGATAGAGTCATGTCAGATGGCATCATTTCTGTTGGAGACTGCTACAATATGTACAAAATATTAAATCATCTTTTCCTTCTTCATCCATATACATATTGCATGAGTGTGATGAGCAGCACATAGACACCGGGCAGATACCAGTCAGTACAAAGATGGTCACAGATTGTCGCTTGACCTTCAAATAGCAAAAACTGCCAATCACAAGGCCCAAGACTTTAAGATGACACTTTCAATGTGCTTGTCTAAAAGCCGCAAACCCAAAAAGATTCAATACACAATGGGAAAAGTAGGAAATCCTCAAAAAACTGGAACTTGCAAATATTATACCCTTCAATTACTCAGTACTCATGTAATCAGGTACTCATTTGAGCCAAAACGTCTAAATATAATGTTTGTTTTATCATGTTTGACAAAGAAAAGCATCAAACCCTTACATTGAGAACTATGAATGACACTGTTGCTCCACTAGTGTGATGATTCATCGTTTCAGCTCTACTTAAAACCACTGATTTTTTTTAGATGCTGTCTATGACCTTCTCTCTCATCCTACAGAGGACTGTCCTCTTGTCAGTTAAGTGGAAAGTGTTGAGAGAAGTGGAGCTTTTAACCTCCATTACTTTGCTCAGCTGCCACCATCAGAAGTCTGTGGTTGCACTGGGGAGCTCCCAGTGCAACCATCAAGCATTGATGAGGCTTAAAAACAAGCTGCATCCTTGAGTTAATTTTCCTTGGATAAGTAAAGAGGGACGGGCACCACACTGGTCTAAGTAGTAGATTCAATTGAAATCCAGCTGCCAGCAAAAGGCAAACAAGTAGTCAGTAACACTAGCTGTACTGGAGTGTGAAAAGGCAGCCTGCCAGGCTAGCACAACGTAACTGGGCTGACACCGAGCCAGGAGAAACTTTAAACTATTACTGAGGCAAATCCAGTTGTGACAGTCACAGCAGCCAAACAT